GTTCACTCATAAAACGCGGCAGGTCGACGCCATATCGTCGACATGAGCGCAACGTTCCACTCCGCGCATGTATGTGAATATATAGGTATAGCCACCCTTGGCGCGAACGGAGAGCAACAGCGAGAAAGAACGGGTGAGGCGGGGTGGAAAAAAAAAAGAGAGAATCAAGGGGGGAGAGAGAGAAAGAGGTTAAAAAAAAAAACGAAAATTTCCCAGCTGTTCAAGCCGGTGTTTTATCTTCCTGAAGGATCAAACATGGCGGACGTCGGTCGCAACGGGAGGGAGGGGGTTGCAACCCTTGCTATCTGCCTGATCGAAACCTCGCCGTCGCAGGAGTTCACGGCGCACGCGTGTGCGTACGTGCGTGCGTATGCGTGTACGGAATTTCCGTGCAGCTCAATACGTACAATGGAAGAAGAGGACACGAGCGGTGGGCAATATATGCCACGACTTTATTATATACAGGGTGGTGGGCCGCGTGCACACCCGCGTGCGTATACCTGGTGGCCGCCTTTTGTTTCCCAGATCGTATCTGCGCTCCGTTTTTCGGCGACACATCTGTGACTGGATTCAAGCCGACGCACGCTAAAAATGAAACATATTGTGGAGGCATATGTCTTTGCGTGCGTTCCCCCTTTTTTCAACCTTACTTTGGGAGCTTTCTAACAAGTGAGACATATCAACGTGGACTGTCATTCTATTTTTTTGCTTTCACTAAATATTGAACAAAGACAGAATAATTCTTCTGTCGATACAATGTATGTATCTCTCTTGCTAGAAAGCTCCCTTTGATATTTGAAACGTAAGCGACTAGATCATGTTAATCGTACTTTTTTGGAAAATAAATTATTTCTCGCTTTACACTAAAAAAAGAAAAACTAATTTCTCGCTACGAGAATTTGACACTCCTTTGTGAAAGTCCAATTCTATCAGTTCCTCTGGTTAAATGAAGCTATTATAATTTCTAACTATATTTTCATACCTAGATACTAATCGTTGAATAATGAATGAGTCACATTTTCGTAATGTTTTCCCCTAACGTGGAATACTATTCGCGGCATCGTTTACTGAATGGGATCGATCGATCGTCCGTCGTGAACGATATCGACCGTTATTTTACCAGGACAACCAGGACAATCGGGAATGAATTTCGGCTGAATGGCTGCATGAATTTTTAATCCGGAAGTAAATAGGAACAAGTAAGGGGCGCGATGAGTAAGGGGATGCGTTCACACCTTGATGGAAGAGCAGAAAGCTGAAAAGCAGCAGGCCAATCAGAACTCGCGCTGGTAGTCGACAATTTCGGCTTTTCGTACTACTTACTACCATCGCGAATTTTGATTGGTTGTTGTTTTTCCGTTTCGTGTAAACGCGCCCTAAGAACGTTGGGTGGAGGGGGGGGGAGGGGAAGGGTATCTGGAGTTCTCGCGACGGAGAAAAATGACGGAAAACACCGAAAGTGTCGCACGCACGTGCGTACGCCCACTAGTTTAAATCGATATTTTATCGACCGGCCGCGTTTTTACGTCACACCGCGCTACCGCCGCCGCGCGTGCACGCGGATGAATGATGGGTGGGCGTGTCGGTTCATCATCGCGTCGGAATATTTGTACGGGTCGTCATGGCGAACTCGCGAAACGATTGCCTCTGTTTAAACGGTGACAGCAAATGAATTATACGCAGCAGGCAGGGTATGTATCTGGGATGTATGTAGAATGTCCCTCACTCTCTGACACGTTAATGATTGATTCCTTGATGAATTTCTTCCTTTTTCTCTTTTTTAACCTCCTAGTCTATTATCTAGGTCTACTTTTTTGGCGCAGGCCAAAATTTCACTCTCAAATTTTATACCTTTACTAAAATTTCCATTTTTATTAAATAACATTCGAGCTCAGAATTATTCGATAACGTAATGGAAATGTTGAAAATTAACTCTGAATTCTTTCGAAAGCCTAGAACAGTAAAAAATTTGAGCTGAGCGAAAAAGACAAATTACAGAAAGAGAGTGAAAAATATGATTGCAGATAGAGAGATTAAATAATTACTACCTATATGAATAACTGTGGAAATATATATATATATATATATATATATATACATATATATATAATCAGAGATTTACAATAAAATGCACCGAATATTCGATTGAGCGAAATCGCAATGAACTCTACGCGTTTCACGAAAGAGAGTGATACGTTAAGCGAGCAACAAAAAGATAATAACTACGGAAAATTACATGAGGCGCCGGTGTAAAGCAGCTTCGTCAATTAACGAACTCATTGAGTGCAGCCGCCATATCTATAATTACTCGCGAGGCGACGCCGGTCGGTGAAAAACTTTTGAATTAATCAGCCTTGCTCTATCGCGTACCAGGGAGAAAGTGCGATAACGAGAGGGATAGTGAAACGTATATCAATACGCGCTTCTGCATCGGAGGTATGCCGGTCCGCTCGTTGCATCTCGTGCCGCTCTCGACGAGACGCGCCTTCTCTTTGAAATGAATACTGCAAACCGTGAATCATTGTGATCTGAGAAATGGACTCATGGAGGGTCGACACTCGTGAAAGTGCACGCTAAGAGCACATCTAAACGTCCAATGTCCACTTCTATCGCCATGCATAGGTCAACTTCGATCTCCGAGCTGACATTTCAGCCTTTTCTATTTCTAAGAATTAGAAAAAGATAATGGGTAAATTAAACCGAGATTAAAATTAAATTATATTGATAAAAATGAACACAATTGATCCGACAGTTTGGTCTTTTGACCAAGAGATAGATTAACTTTAACTTCCGTTTAACTTTTTATCCTTTTCTAGTTCTAAGAAAAGATAACGAATGAATTAAACCGAGATTAAAATTAAATTATATCGGTAGAAATAGATATAATTGGCCGAGTAATCTGTCTTTTTCACGGAGATTGCATGCTTCACCACTATGATACTTTCGATCGCTTAGTCGATATCGACACGCACACGCTTCGCGATTATTCTAAGAATATCTCCATCAAAAGGACTCTTGTGTCAATATTTGAAAATCACGACTGTAAAATTTATAGTAAAAATCATTTGTCGCGCGTTGAAAAATATTAAAATTATCGTACATCAACAACGTAATTCGCAACGCTTGTCGCGACAACCAATCGAAAGCAGTCAATGATATCACTGACACTTCTGATTTTCTGCAAGTAACGACCATAGCGAACTACGTTTGTGACTTATGTAGATTAACCTTTAGTCTTGCACTATTGTGAACGATTCAACCACGCTGTAAAAAAAAAAAAGGGAGAGTTCGATTTCGAATAATAAGTGATTAGAGAGACGGAAAGTGTAAACCCCATAAAACAGACGTTTCGTGATCGATTCCGCGAATTTTCGTGAGTGTTTAGTCAGGTCGGATCGCTGTTACGAGGAGAGAGTCCGAAACGATGGAAGAGGAAGCAGAGCCGGTGGTATCGAGTTTCCGCATCGGTACTTCGGACGAGGCTGCTCCATCTACATAGGTGCTAGCCGAGTCGCCAAAAATAGATCGGGTTCACACGAATTCTACGAGCCGATCGCACGAAACCTCCGGCTACCGTTCGTGATATCGATCGAACCGACGGCGACCTGATATGTGTGCGGAACTCGCCGCTGCCTATAACTCGCGCTACGATTGAAAACGTGCTCATGTGAAAATCATGTATCTAATTTAAGAATATAAGTAATACAAACTTACGATTAGTGTGTGTTAATAACGGAGATATAATGTATTCCTTTTTTAAGCATATATTTAACTCAATCTTGAGAGTTAAACGTTCATATCCGCTTTCTGCGAGAATGTGTGTTCAAGCCTGTATATAAAGTTATATTCAAGTCGATAAATTATATAGGCTGAAATACTTATAGTCAATTCTTATATTTAAAACTGTCTTAAGTGTAGTCTTAAAATCCTGAACCAAGCACAGGCCGGTAGTCATAATCTGTTCTTATATTTAAGATCGTCTTAATTAACAATCTTAAAATATTATGAACCAATTAGAAAGCCGCGATTGGCATCATTATCTAAGACGGTCTTAAAATAAGAATGCTCTTCATAGTTTTTTAAAATGCACTATTCAATCCGGATTTGAAACATTTCTATTTGTGTGTTCGACGCTCGGCTTAGCCTTCCTTCGTGACGTGAGGAAAAATTGTCCATTTCGCGTAAAATATCACGTGTAGAAATTTACTCGGGCGTTACGTCTCTTCCTCCGTTCCAAAAACGATCAATTTAAGTGAATTTAAATTAATTGATTAAATCGTCAGGTCTTGTACCGTTCCGATGTGATTAAGGTGTTTCCAGATGTTCTCTTTAACCGAAGATTACGAGGCAAGTTCTCCAATATACAGTAACGGCGATCCATCGCACGAAAATCATTCGACCCGCCATCAACCGGGTGCGTTGCGATACGGAGCTGCTAATCACAGTGGAGAGAAGCGGAGCGTATATTAATCAACGGGTACAGGAAATTAACTTGGCCTTGTTTTATCTTGCATTCTGATTACTATATCTACACACCGCGAGAAACGTATAACTTCGTTCTCTCTGCTGTACGTACGTGCTAATTAAGCGTGTGTTGTCTTGCTTACGCGAAGGAAGCGATCAAGGACGCACTTTTACGAATAAGGTGTAGACAGAAGAACGTAGGATTTTTTTCTTCCGATATATTGAGATATCAGTGTATTAACAATAAGTTCAATAATTCAATGTATTGAATTTTATCGCGCAAAATATCCACTTCCACGCCATTTTTCAACATTTTACATAATTGCCTACTTAATGTAGCCATAATAAAGCAGATATGAATTCACTTATGAGTATTTAATCAGAAGCTTATTAATCAGAAGCAATCGATTTTAAATGTAAAAATTTAAATTGCCTTCTATTTCTTTTTACGTTGTCTGATTAATCGAGCTTGACGGGAATATATATATATAATGACACTTCGCTTGTCAAGGAAGTAACACAGCTTAGGTACTTACCAGTCGTCGTTTCGGCTTGATGAGGGGTCGATTCTGACCGTTCATCTTGTAATAAAGCCCGCAAGCGTTGCAGAGGTAGTGGCCAGTGCCGTCCCGTCTCCAAAGGGGTGTCGATGTGGCGCCGCAATTCACGCACTCGCGACCCTCTACCCCGACGGAACGAAAATCATATTAATTCGGCTTCAGTTCATATCGCGCAGCGATTTTACTCACTCGTGTTCGCGTGCGAAACGCGAGATCGAATTTGTCGAAAAGTGGGAACTGCTCAGGCTTCTCCTCGAGGACTCGATTCTAACGTTTCCCACGCGAACACGGAAGCACGTTGATCGCGCGAAGGGGCAAACTCATCAGTTTTTTTTCTCAATCTTTCATCATCGTACAAGCTATACTTTTGAGAATTCTAATGGTGGCAAAAAATGTCACCTCTGTGTTTCTACGTTTCCATTTATTTTCAAAACTATTTCGATAAAATGATATTTTCTCCGAGTAACATGGCCTTCGAAGATTATACAGAATAAATTTTACATATAATATGAATACATGTTACGCGATAAAACAATATTAATTTAACGTTATAATAATATAGATTTGACTTCGGTGAATCAACGTGCGTTTACAGAGAGATTTGCAAACAGTCAGGTGACTCGTGAAAAAGAATTCGCATGCAGAGTTGCAGACATACCAATATCAAGCGATTACCAGAGCAAAAGCAGAGTCTCTTTAAGACCATGGGCGTTTATAGGATTCACGGATCGAACTTACGTTAGTGCGGTTGGTTAGTCCCCCAAGGACAAACTGCGAGAGAAAGAAGCGGATATGGGAAGAAAAAGGATGGGTTTCGTTCATATCTCGCCGATCTATGATCAGATGACAGGAAGAGTGTTGCTTGAAAGATTCGCAAATTTATTTTCTAAATGTTCCTAAGGATCAACGTTATTCCCCCCACAATTGAAGACCCTCTAATCAAAGACTCAGGTCATAAAAGAGTGTCGTTCATTTTCTTGCAAAATCCTGCGAGTGGCAAAAGATACGCCCCATCTCACTTTGCAATGATAGAGAGAGAGAGAAAAACTGCTATCTCGTAACTAATATGAATTGCCAGAAAATGTCGGACCAATCAAAAGTACAATGGCCGTTTCTGATTAGAGGGTCCTCTATTCACAACAAGTGACAGTAAGTAGGCAGCGCTCTCTTTCCCGTGGAATTAGAAAATAAATTTAAATCTGTCACAACGCGCCGACTCTGGACGGAAAAGAAGAAAGAAGGACCGTGGATAAAAGGACTTCACTTCTCCCGAAATGCGCGTTTCACGAATCGTCCTCCGAGCTGCGTCCTCCGCGAAGATATAGCCGAGTTTATCGGCTGCTACTGAAAATGATTGCTGTTAAATTGCATCGTCGAACCTCTCGTTGACGCACGAGAGACCGAATTGTCGACTGTTACGCGATACGATTGAGTAAAATTCGAGGTAAAAGTAAATGGCTCCGTTCAATGGCTGTTGAACAATCTTAACGATGCTCGTAAAAACCACCCTCTGACTACGTCCGCGATTAGGTCAATTCTGTCGTTGACATCTATTACTAGTGTGCGTTTGGATTTTGTGAAAAACTTGTAGTGTAGATTTATCTTGCGAGAGAGATATTTTATAAAGGATAGAACAATTGGAAATCATAACAATTCCAAAAAGATGCCGTGCCGATGATGGCGATATCGATTGAACGCGCGTCGCTGATTAATGACTCGACCTCAATTTAACGCGAAATTTGACGGCGGCGGAATAATTCTAGCACACGTAACGTAGGTCGCATGTAATTGACGACACGCGAGCGGCTCGTTTGCGAGTCCACCATGTAGATGAATCTGTAACCGAGCAATCGAACGTCAGTCTTTTCGTCAGGCTTGTCATACACGTGTAAGATGCAATCGAAGAACGCGAAGCATCACGGACGAGATCACTGTACCCGCGATTCTGTAACTCTTAATGATAATATCGGTAACATATATTTTCGTTGCGCAGACATTACACTGTTAAATGAGCAATGACACAGTCCAATCTCTTGTTAAATAACATTTTGTAATTTTTAGCTTCAAATTTGCATCAAAATGTAAACCAATCCATTTTTGTGGATAGCTCCAAAGTAAACAACGTTCGTATTAACGTATGCATTTGGTAAATAATAAATTAAATTATAGCCTAAACTATTGTAAATAATAAAATAAATTTGACACATTTTCTTGAATTAAATTTAACTTCGTTCATTTTAGTTAAATTATCAACATATTGAATAAGTGGCGACCTGTAGAAATGATTGAAAACAATTCAAATTGAATACACAATTTGATATTATACTCAATAAATATTTAATACTCTCTTGTAGAAAGGAGGGTCGGATGCAACCCCCCTTTGTCAATTTTACAAAATCCGTGCGTTGTTTAACAGAGAAAGAAGTTTCATGATATATATTACTTATTTTTATTTAATCATTTTGTTATACCTATTATTAGATTAGATAAAATATGAAAAAAACAGCATCGAATCCTACTTTTCTGGATATCTTGAAACTTCACTTTACCGTAATAGTTACAGAATCAAAGTACAGGTTCTGACGTGAAAGAGATATTATATTTAATAGTCGCCTAATTTGGTGCGTTTCGAGATCGATTTCGAAACTAACTGGAAGGACTCGCTCAATTCACTCCTCCGCGGCGTTTTAATTCGATTTCGGTCTTACCGACCCGCAGATGCGAGGGTGATAACGCCTACAACTACCGTCAATCGCCGATGCTATGTTCCGAATCCCTCTCTCATGCCAACAATAACAGAGCGGCATAAACGTGATCAATCATGATCCCCTCACTGCTTTTCGATTTGATTTCGATGATGCCTCGGTGATTGCGGATTAAATCCTGATTTCTCTCTCTAGTACTATATTATTTTTTAATTGACATCCTTGTTTTTTATTCACCGACAGCGGCGGGTTTCACCCTATGGCGGAATAAATTTTTAGCAATTTAATTATCAATCAATTTTGTCGATAAGAATGCTCATCGCTCTTTGGCATTAATATTATCGCCGATAATAATTTCCGGCTACACATATTTCCTTGTACCGATATTTCTCTGACTATCGATCGGTTTGTAATGATTGAACGAACAGGCGGACAGTTTCTGACGCAGACGATGGGTATCAGCCACGAAACGTCGAGGTGACGCTCGTTTGCGTCGTTATTCGAAATATAGTCCTCGTGTCAGAAGGTGACGCTAAAATGGCCGGTTTCACCCCAAAGCGACTGGTATCGCTCCCATTTTCGACATCACCTCCGACCTTAATGCCAGGCATGCAACGAAGCGCTCGTTAGACCATCGCTTCCGTTTCAACTTTCGCGAAGCTTTCCGGATTACAACACACGAAATGCTTGATAAAACGGTACATCGCAACACGACCAAATTCTGCTAAATTTGGAATCGTTTTTTTATTTTTACATCCAAATGCACATCTAAATAAAACAATTGCACGGTTCCTCATTTTCTTTAATCATGTCAAGTATTCTTTATTTTATGCCAGTATTTTTATATCAAATAATTCATGCTGAGATGAAAATTTCAGAGAATTCCTTTGTAAGTGTTCTATTATTCAACATCCGTTGCAAAAGTTAGGCATCTATTGTTGATACAAAAACGAACGAGCGAGGACTGTTTAGGGTCAAAACAGCCTAGCTACCGTTTGTGCTCGTTGGTGCACAAAGAAAATCGACGAAGTGAAAAAAGGAAGCCACAGTTTGTCCCGTGCCACTTCTGTCATCAACGGTCGAGTTATGATTCAGTACGAAAGAAGCGGCGTTCCGTTACGAATTTTGCACTGGCCCATGATTATCTCTCTTTCACCCTATTGTCCTTTTTCTTTCTCCGTTAATTACGGCCATAATTCTGCAATCCTTTCGAACCTAACAGGATTTTCCATAAAGCTTCTGCTCCCCGATGGTTTTCTGATCGTCGGCTCAGTCGTCTAAATTGTTAGTGTCTCATTAACTTTTTAGGGGTTGTAAGGGTAAACATATCAATGGCGTCTAATGTATTTATCATTTATATTTTAAAGTTCTGTTGTAACGCATTTTTCAACATTTCGAAGATTTATAAAGCCGGAAATTCTACAGTTCGTATTAATTTATCAACACAATTTTTTTTGACAACTTTTACAAAAATCTAAACCCATAATTATACTAGCGATTGCACGATTGGGATTAGCGATTAGCGATTATTTTTCAACCAATCGGAGAGCAAAGCAGTTATCGATTACTTTACTCTAATTTGTTGAAAAGAAATTGTCAATCGCCACTTATAATCACTAGTGTGACTGTAGCTTAATATTAGCTAATTTAATATTATGAAAGATGTAAAATAAGTAATTAATAACTCTCCATCAGCAATGTAAATTTTAATTCTTCTATCAGCAATAGGGGATTCAACAAACAGAACAAATTTTTTATCGTTCCAGATAAAAATTCACAAAAATTCATTGTCAAAGCTTTAACAATGAGTTTTATCATCACAGAAATTGGATTATATTTTATTTATTTTTTTTACGTATTTAAATCTATCTACCAAAATTCACAATCAAAATATCAATGTCTTTAAAGACTTCAATTGCCGTCAAAGGGTTAAAAGCACTTCTTGTTCACTTTTAATCCTTTTTCCAAATAATTAGTTACTTTGTTTTCCTTTGTCTTTCTGTAAAAAATTACCGGTATTAAATTTCTGTAAAGGAAGTTATCTACATATAATGAATTAGATATTATTATTTACGTCTTCTCATACAATGTATCTATGCGATTTATTATCGATAAGCATCATTCGTCACATTGCCGTTTACTGTATTAATTATCTTCCTCTAAGTGATCAAAATTGTTTCACGCTTCATTCGTCCATTCGGTGAAGGAATCTCTAGTATCTCAAGTTCCACCCACCTTCTCATTCTTACCTCCTTCTCATCACGAGCGAAGGATATTTGTCAATCTCGTGTCTATCTGTTTTTCATGCCGCCGAGGTATTACTCAATCGACACCTTTCAAGCGTCACTTCAAACTACTGACGTACTTTATTACGGGAGCCATTTTTCGTGGCCTTCTCACAGACGATTTTCTCGACAATCGCGGTAGGTGTCGCTAAATGAACCACCGCCGCCGCCGCCGCCGCAGCTCCGTCTGGCTTCTTCTTCGTCATCGTGAAGTTCCGCGCGCGGCTAGTTGGTGTGTGTCGTAAGTCGATTCAATTAGCGGGCTTCCATGGCGCGAAGCCGAGGGCCATTGTTCCCGGAATTAGGATTTTTACCACGCCGCCGCCGCCACGCTGGAGAACGACCAGCTATTATTATCGCAATCAGCGTATCCGGCATTTTTCAACCGTTTCTCGTTTCCCTCTTCTCTTTTCCTCCTTCCTCCGCGGCGTTATCCACTTCGATGACAACATGGACGATACCGAAAGAAACGCACAATTTCCCAAAAGTTCGTCGATCCCGTTCGTAACTCTTTCTACACACGTCTCGTCACACGTCACGCGATCCGTACTTTACAGAAATTCATGGACTGTAATTATCCGCAAATCCGCGACGAATGCGACCCAGCCGCATGTGCTCGTACGAGGGGAAAAAATTATTTGCCGAAGGTACGCCATTGAAAAATGGTCCGTGGACTCTTTGAGAGAGAGCTTTGCCGTGACAAAAACAAAAATACAGCGCTAGCCACACCACATCGAAAAAAAACCTGTGCTTCTTCGCATATTTTTGTGTCTTTGCGTATGTATGTGTGTCCGTGTGAATTTGTACGATATATGTGTGTGAGGAGCGGGGGAGGGGGTGAATCAGAGAGAGAAGTATGTGTATTTATAAATAGGGATATAGTAGATACATATATCGTGTTTCATTTCGTAAATCGGGTGTGGTGCTTCACGCTCGCTCTTTCGAGTGGGTGCCACGCAAAAAACACATCAGTGAGGCAAAATACAAAAAACCACAATCAGTGCCTCCCTCTCTCTTTCGCTTTCTTTCTATTGTGATACAGCTCGTCCAAAAAAACGAGAGAAACGGGTGGAAAGAACGTGTTTTGAACGAACTTTAAGCGTAAGACGACCGCCACCAAAAGCTCACGGTTAAAATTAAGATGAAAGATAAAAATTAAATCGAATAATGAAAGGAAATTGATAAATATCCCGCCTGTATATTCTCTTGCCCTCTTTACGTATCCAATCGATATTCGAAATACTTCCGAAGGATGTATCGACTGGATTTCGAGCGAAGGAGAGAATATAAGCGAGATAAAAATAATTTCTAAGAAAGTTGTTGGAAAATTTTTTTTAATTAAATAAAAAAAACTAAGAATTAATAAGAAGCTTTTAACGTAACAGGAGAGAAGTAATATGAAATCAGAGGAACGAAAAACGCATTGGCGTCGATTACGTTAAGCTTGTATAAATTGCATAAAATATGATAAGTCAGATATTTCGATAATGTATACTCGTATATAGCATTGAAAAAAATCAGATAAAATAAAATGCGCATAAGGATTACCTGAAATTTATATATTAATATCTTTAGTTTCAACAATCGACGCCGGTGCAAAGAAGCGGAACTAAAGATGCCGAAGCAAACAATTACGCAAAGGAACTGATAAATAATTCAAGAATATCGCAACACATCTTACACGGGAAAAGTATTATTTATCAGTCATATTTTTTAAACGTGCCTTTCAAGACTTCAAAATTTTTTAATTACGAAACAATGCAGTATAAAAAATAATTAAGATTATTAAATTTTCTTTTGCCAGAGGGTTACAGAGATTTTAATTATTAAATTCATCGTCAAGAGAGATCTCAGGGCTTAAAAGATCTCCTATTCAATCTCGTAAGATTGAACAGAACACTTTTCCCGCATGAAAATGTAAGCGAAGGAAAGGATAAATTAAATATTCGGAAACCAAAAGTATAAATTCCAAAATGAAAGAAAGTAATTAAAAATAAAGTAAAAAAAAAAAAAGAAAGAAATCCAAAGTAAAGAAAAGAACCGTGATAGGCGCGTGCCGCTTACCGGCGGACGTCCTCGACTTGTTCCTCGGCTTTTGCTGCTGCTGTTGCTGCGCGGAGGGCGAGCCCGGCGTGTTTCCGTGCGCGGCCGCGTGACCGACTAGCAGCTTCGAGTCGGCGCCGCCGGGTAGGCCGCCGGCTAGGCCGCCGGTTGCATTACCGGTGCCGGCACCGCCGGCATGGTGACCGAAAATACCGGCGACCGCGGCTGCACTGCCGTTGTGCGGATTGTGGGACGACGCGGCGGTAGACGACGAGGTGGCGCCGTGATGATGATGATGGTGATGGTGGGTGGCGGTGGGATACTGCAGGTGCTGGTACATATTGTA